CTGAGCCTATGGCGTCCCTCGAATGCGCATGGCAGGTGTAGGCTGAGCTCGATAAGAGACTTTACCGTAGGCGGTGCTCATCTAGGGTGTGGTTAGCAATTCCACTTTAAACTAAACCGCTGCCGGGGCGCTCCCGGAAGTTTCTACGCTAGGGGAGCCCCTATACTCAGGGAGATAGAGTGGCCTCCTGTATCTAGGGAGTACGCGGGAGAACAGGCTGATGTATCTCGGCCTGTTAGCCCTTTGCGTGCGGCATACGACCCGATGCACAATGCGGGCCCGACCGGGGAGTGGACAAGCGGAGAGCGAGGTTGTCTCGGCCCTTAGGGGCTGGGGCGCCTCTACACCAATTCTGCGACGGTAACACCATTCTTTCGTATGCGGAGGTGGGTCAGCTCTCATCTTGAGAATCAAAACGTCCGATAAGGCCGAATAGGCTAGGTGCGGACGCTAAAGATCCTCTTGTCTTGTTGACGATGAGTTCACGGGAACGAACTGTAGGTTGATAAACTTGTAATTTGATCGTTACTGATCATTTTGGTCTGCTACCCTCTTCTCTTTGTCGGCCTGTCAGACGAGTTTCGGCATTTTGCACTCTTCAGCGTTATGTTCATGTGATTTCTGTTAAGTCAAGTCTCTGTTATATAGTGGGGAAGGTAGAGTGCGTGTGTTGGCATTACCTTCGTTTGTCTGTACCTTTGTGGATGAAATCTGGGTTTATTTTATAGTTTCTGTCGTCTTTGTGATCTTCGGTCCTTTCTCGTTTAAATGGTATGTTGTTTTGAGTTGTGCAAATGATGTGTATGAATTGTGGTTAATTTATGTGCTTATGCGTTATTGTTTTTGTAAATGTTAAATTTGTTATGTTTGTATTTATGTAGTTTCGTGTGGAGTTTAATTATTTTTCTGTATCTGTGTGGTGAGTTCATGATTTGATTATTTGTTCTTTGCGTCTATTTTATTTTGCGTTCTTTCTTTCCATTATATTTGTCTCCGCATTCGCCTGTTATGGCGAACAAAAGCTCAACAAAACTTATATTGAGGGTCACTTTGTTGAAAATCCAATTTTAACTATAGAGTACAATAATAATAACTAATTAATTAGAAAGTGTCTTAATTTTAAACTTAACTAATAATAGGCGCTTGCCGTTTAATTAAGTATAGAAAAAACAAAACAAATAAATTATATTAACACTTGAAAATAACGAGATTTCCGTTTACAGTAAGTGTAAAATGGGATGCCAATTTTATTTTCAACCCTTTTAAATTAAATCACTGCCAAATGGATGGAAAAACAATATAATTAATCAAAACTGAAATGCAAATGAAATTGTAGAGATACCACGAGCTGGAGCGTTGAGGAAAAAAACAGTGGTTGTGGTTGTTGTTTTCTGTGTACTCGGACACAGGTTGGGAGGGAGGAAGACGATGCACGTCCAAACCTGGTACCAAGGTCTCACGTATCACGGGCCTGTGTGGCTCGTACAAGAATGGCAATCCTCACCATATTAAGACTAGGCCATGCGAAGTTTGACTTTTGAACCAAAGCCCAGGTTGCTCGATTTGTCTCACCTAATTGAACGGTGTAATTCCTTGGCTCCATATAGAGAGCGCGTAGGAATGGTTAGGGATGCCACCCGTTATGGAAATTGGGCTGAGTTCCGATCCGAGATCCGAGATCCTATGTTCCGATTCTCGGAGGAAACTGGGTAATTTTGTTGTATATCATAACGATAGGTTTATGCCCCAAGCGTGTATTGAGAGTGAATGTAATTTTTGGCGTCAATGTGTGAGGGTGATGGCGGAATATTGAGTATCCCATCAACTCTAATGATATGTAAATTAAGAAAACGGTGTGAATGGATTTGGTTTAGGAAATGATTGCGTTTGAGGCTGAAATGACCTTTGCCAACACCCGGGATGAATGATTCTCGACGCCGTTGGTAATTTAGTGTAAATTACAAAAGCTGAAATTGCCGGTGGACTGCGAGAAGTGATGGCTCAACTGTGTACATGCATATACAGATTTGAGCTTAGATAAATCAGTAATCAATAATCAGAAAATGAAAATGTTAGGCGAATAATCAGCTATACATTTTGAAATATATAATCAGAGTGGAATATTGGTTATTTTTCACTCGTCTGTTTAGTGTTGTCTCTCCCCCGATGAATGTACGGTTTTTTTAGTCAATCGAATTGGATGAACAACATGCTAGCCGATTGTAGTTTTCATGTCTAAAACTAAAAACAATACTTCTCCTTAGCAATCTTTTGGTAAAGGTGTAACAACGTTTTCAGTTTATTATCTGAGCCGTACTTATTGAATTATTGTTATTTTCAGGTTTGAAAGGTTTTTTCATTTCATTTAATCAGCTTCATCCCTGAAAGATTCTCTGTTTCAACTTATCGAATTAATCTTGTAACTCAGGGTCCCATTGTTTTCCACTCTTTACTTTGAATAAGGTAAAGTAATAATGTCAAGCGAATCTGCAATCGGATTTCAAAACTGATTAATGCCTTAATCAAAACTAACTGTTTTTTCAACTGAAATTATAGACTTTGACCTTTTAATACATCTCTCTTTCTCTCTCTCTCTCTCTCTCTCTCTCTCTCTCTCTCTCACTCTCTCTCTTAAGAAGGATTATAAATCATTGCTAATTTAAAACAACGAACACTCGAACGATAACAAAATCGATAAAAGTTATTATAGAATTAGAGAATCCCTCTCGAAACCTTGGTTCAGTCAGTGGGTATACATTGTAAGATTGCGGTAAGTACGAACTCATATAAAGAAAACTATGAAGTTCTAAATTACAACTTTAATATTATTTAAACTCTATTTAGAGAGTATTAAAGTACTAAGTGCTCACATTAAAGTATTAAGTGTTATTATAAAATTGTGTTCAATTCACTTCATAAATAATAATCATTATTCATTACATTTCGTGGTCCGATTGACCAAATAACATCTTTCAATTAATTAATCTTTATGTAAGGTATTGGTCGAGCGGGACACTGACTTTTTATCTCAACCAATACCTTACATGAAGATTAATTAATTGAATAATTATAATACTCATCAACATAAAAAATAATAATACTCATCATGTTCGTGATCAATAAAGTGTAAGTTAAATTCAATGAGTTCGTTTTTTACAAATTTTAAGCTTTAGTCTTACTTTAAAGTCCTGCGTTAAGGTGACTTACTTATTTTATTAAAAGTAGTTAAGTACATCCACACCATACATATTCAAACTTTATTTATTTATTTTTTTACGGGGGTTCGCAACAGCAGAGGTCATATAAACAAACCCTTAGGGTGTCGGTGTTTTTGAAAAAAAGCCCGTTTGTAAATATGTCAGGTTCGAATGCAGGACCGCTGCATTCGAACCCGGGACCTTTACCGATGAGCGATTAGTGATGAGCGCCGTGTCAACGCATAAAGGTCGATTTATATTAGAACATGACGGGCATCTTACGGGACGTATGGAGAACGAGTCCCGTAAGGCGTTTGTATTTACATTACACCGGGCTGTTTACGGCACGGCAGTCAGTGGCTGGGATCTTCAACTCAATTTTTCATCAGTTTTACTAGCGTTCATATCGTGCTTTTTGTATGTGCGCGCGCGATAATAACATGAACTTTAACACAGTTGAATTAGCAGCTATTTCTGTAGCTCTTGATGAGGAAGAAGGCGAAAAGACGAGAAGATGGGCTGTACATCCAGCTTGGAAGAAAAGGGATCAGAAGGTGAATTCGTTCCCCTTACAAGGAGTTGAAGGATGACGAGGAAAAGTTTTTATGGCTATTTTAGAATGACTCGTCAGTTTTTCACTTCTGTTACGTGTTGTATACTGACGGGGGTGGAGTTCATACTATACGGGACGGGGAAAGAATCGTAGGCTGCGGGCGGAGTTTAGCCCCGTGACCGCCCCGTACCGCCATAATGTGAACTCTCCCTACTTGAAAACAATGAGATAATATGTTGATGTGTCCCGTAAGACAGCCGTCCCGTACCCTGCACGTTCTAATATAAATCTGCCTTAAGCCGTTGCGGCCACCGACGCCCCCCTACTCAAACTTTGTACTATGCTATTATACATAGATGTATATGTATGTACATGTATATATCTATTGTTTTTGAATCCCTCTGGTGTATGACCAGAGGCTAGTAACAGTCTCAGAGCATCTTTCAAGTGTCAAGACCGCGTTCCCTGTGCGCATGCGTAAACGAAAACTTGTGCGAAGTGTCAACTCGGTGTTCAGTTTGGATAACCAGTAAATTATCAACACGTCGTGTCGTCTGCTTTAGATGAAATCCGCCATCGTGAAGGCAATTTATATAACCGCCGCACGAAACTGAAAAGGGGCAACATATCCTATCCGCTGACATCAGGTAACAATCTCGAGCCGATACGTTGCGCTTCCTATTATTTCTGTTGCCCGCGCTGCCGCACCCACGGATTTGATAATTAAGTTCTCCGCCAAGAAGTCAACGTAAATATTTTGGACCTTAAATTTTTTTCATTAATTATAAGATAATTGGTTCCGAGTTTAATTAAAACTGTTTCTCCTCAAACTAAACTAAGAAACACAGATCGCTACCTCAACTTTAAATCTCACCATCCTCTTCATACAATAATAAACACGGCCAAAGGGTTACCCTGAGCCATGAATCATTTCACCACAAGAACATAAAGATATACAAACAGATCCTCTAAAACAATCTCTACCCTAAGCACATAATTAACAGAATAATCAATAACTACAACTCAACACTAACACCATCCACTATTACTAATAATATTACATTAAATATATCAAATACAAACAAACAAGCATACATTTCCATGCCATTCATTCCAGGCCTATCACAAAAATTAAACACATTTCTCTCGTCCGATAACTTCAAAATAGCTTTCAAAAATTATCAAACAATCCAAACACTTTTTTCCAAAGTTAAAGATCCCACACCAATAACAAATAAATCTGNACACGATTAACTTTACATAATACTCTTTTGTATAAACAATTGCTTATGTCCTTTAGGAGGTTATCGGTATTAGAAAAAGCGGGCTATTTAAATCACCACATTTTCCCTCTGGAGTTTAAAAGAAGTACCTTATAACAATATGAACATGAACTATACGAATCAATTTACATAGTCCTTCAAATAAGCAGGGCGGTTTCTGATGCGTTGAGATTGCCTGGGTTCTTTTACTGAAGGGCTGCCCTCCTCCACCCCTACTGGGGGAGCAAATTCCAACAGTGCACCGTCAGATCCAGATCCATCCACAAGTCCTTGTGATTCAACCGCCAGGTGTGAAGTGTCCCTCCCATCGGCCACCACCGGTGTCACCACTTCCGGAGACTCTACATGAGAGGTATTCCCCGCAGGAGCCAGTTGCCTTAAAGAGACCGTTGATTCCACTCCATTGGGCCACCTAATCAGGGCATACTGAGGATTCGCTTCAATCAGTTCCACCTCCTCAACCTCCTTGTCGTACTTCCCTTTTCTGTTACACTTGGCCAGCACAGGGCCTGGTGCTAGCCATGATGGAAGGGCTTCACCATTAGCTGTCCGCCTAGGGTGCGAGAAAAGGCGTTCATGAGGGGTAGTGTTAATGGCGGTACACAATAGTGAGCGAATGGCATGCAATGACTCCTGCAGAACCTCCTCCCAGTCCTGCACAGGAAGACCCCGAGTTTTAAGAGCCAGGGTGATTGTTCTCCATAGCGTCCCATTTAAACGCTCAACCTGCCCATTCCCCTGAGGATTATAAGGGGTTGTTCGACTTGTAGCTACTCCATTGGAACACAGAAATGCTTTCACCTCCTGTGACATAAAGGAAGTCCCACGGTCAGTATGTATATACGCTGGTACCCCGAAGGTACAAAAAAGGTTCTTCAGGCACTCCACCACTGTGTCCGATGATATATCCCTGCAGGGGTAAGCAAATGGAAAGCGTGAGTACTCATCAATAATAGTAAGTAAATACCTATTTTTTGATTTTGATGGCAAAGGTCCTTTGAAGTCCATGTTGAGTCTCTCAAACGGAGAGGTAGCTTTTATTAGGGTCCCTTTGGTTCTCATAAATCTTGGTTTGACTTCTGCACATATCGAGCAATTCAGTCTTCGGACATCCTCCAGAGAATAAGGAAGGTTTTTGCTTCTTAACCAATGGTACATTCTAGTAATTCCAGGGTGGCACAACGACTTGTGCAGTTCATAGAGTTCCGTAACGCTGACAGCGTTGCAAATCCTAGAGAGAGCATCAGCCTTAACATTCTCTGCCCCTGGCCGATAAGTAATGTCGTAAGAAAAGGGTGCCAGTTCCAGACGCCAACGAGTAATCTTTTCATTTTTAATCTTGCTGGCTTGCTTCTTATTAAAGATAAATGATAATGCTTCTTGGTCCGTGATAAGATGGAAATGCTTTCCCAAAAGAAAAGATTTCCAATTTCTAATGGACTCCACAATAGCTCCTGCTTCCTTTTCTATTGAAGAATGTCCCTTTTCACACTTATTTAGAGTTCTTGAAAAGAATGCCACTGGGCGACCATTTTGACTAAGAGTGGCTGCTAGGGCCACATCAGAGGCGTCGGTCTCTACAACCAGGGGAGAGGAGTCATCTACCGTTGTAACTACAGCCTCCGTGATTTCTCTTTTCAGGTTCTCGAAATCTTCAGCTGCCAATGAGTCCAGGGGAAACCGGAGCTGCGGATTGGTAAATCTCCTTATTTTGTCTGAAAAATGGGGAATCCATTTTGAGTAATGAGCAAAAAATCCTAGAGCTCTCCTAAGAGATGTAGCATCCCTGGGAAGAGGCATGTCCATCAGTGGGGCCAGTCGGGCCGGGTCAGGCTTGATTAAGTTATGAAAGACCTGGTGTCCAAGTACATTAATTTTAAGCTGTGCAAATTTGCTTTTTGCCTGGTTAACTTCAAAACCCAGTTTGTCCAGAACTGCCATCAACCTTGAGAGATTAGAATCATGTTCTGCTCTGTCCTTTCCACACACGGATATATCGTCGAGATATGCAAAAACCCCTGTTAGTCGCTCTTCAGATATGATTTTATCCATCACCCGTTGAAAGCATGCTACTCCGTTAGTAATTCCAAAAGGAATTCGGGTGAATTGGTATAATCTGCCACTGGCCTCGAATGCAGTAAACTTCCTTTCCTTGTCAGCAATAGGGATCTGATGGTACGCGTTTTTTAGGTCGATAGTGCTGAAGTAAGTGTAGCTTGCTATTTTCCTAATGAGATCATCGATATTTGGTAAAGGATAGGCATCTAAAAACGTGAATTTGTTGATTGTTTGAGAGTAGTCGATGACCAGGCGCTTTTTATGATTTTCATTTTTTGTAACTAGGACCTGTGCCCTCCATGGCGAATTACTAGGCTCTATAATCCCTTCCGAAACCAGCCTCGCAATTTCTGCCTTGATGAATTCCATATCTTCTTTATGATACCGGCGAGATTTTGTCGCAATAGGCCTACAGTCCTCCGATAAATGACTAAATAGATTAGGGGGCTCTACTTGTGCAACTCCTGAGCAGATGGCCAGAAGGGCCTTCCTTCCCCCAAATCTCAATGTTATACCTTCGTGTTCTCTTAATAGGTCGTGGCCAATCAGAACATCTGCACATAGCTCCCTCAGCACATGAAGTTTGTAGTCTTTATAAATCTGGTCTGCAATTCTGAGGTTCACTGTCACATATCCTTCAGTGTTGGTTTTAAGAGATGTCGAGGCCATAGACACTCGCCCCTCACTCGGCACGATGCTAATGTTATGCTTCAGTACAAAATCCAAACTAATAAAGCTCCCTGAGCTTCCGGTGTCCACTAGGCATTGAGCAGAGATACCATTCACCATAGCCATAGTGATAGCATGGCTCAACTGGTGCAAAAACTTCCCATTCAAAGATGCAATGATAGCTGCGGAGACAGTCTTTGACTTAGGTTCCCTTGTAGGTTTTCGACATACTCTCGCATAGTGGCCACGGGTCCCACAGTTATTACATTCTACATCTTTCGCAGGGCAAGAAAAGCGAGGATGTCGTTTTTGCCCGCAGAAGTAACATCTAGCCCTTTCGGTTTGGATGGTTGCGCAAACGTCTTTGATTTTGTCTGAGAAACTCTCAGGATCAGTCGCGGGCGGTTCCGCCTCCAAACCCGCACATGTATGCTGACTCCGGGAGTATTCCTCAGCTTGCCTAAGCGCCATCTCGAGAGACACCGCTCGCCGCACCGCCTCATCTAGACTGAGGGTAGCCTCCTCAAGCAAGCGCTGACGAATCTGCGAGGAAAGAAGGCCGTTTATAAACGCATCGCGTATATAAAGATTTCTGTGCTGCTCCGCTGAGACAGCAGAGAATTCACAGTCCTTGCTCATAATCTTCAATGACTGTACGTAACGGTCAATGCTCTCTTCCGGGCTTTGCTTCCGCATAGTTAGCAGATGTCGTGCGAAGATTTCGCTTCTCTTCTTAATGAACGTCGCCTTCAGGGTATTTATAGCGTCAGAATAGGTCGCACACTCACTTATGATTTCATATACGTTGTAAGAAAGAAAGTTAGCTATCACCTTCAGTTTATCGGCGTCCTCCAGACTTTCCTCCGCCGAATCCAGGAAATTCTCAAAGGTAGTCAGCCAGTGAGAGAACTCTTTGTCCGCCGCCGGGGAATCCGGACTCGTATCGAACCGGTTAGGCTTCAAATATTTATCCATCCCGAGAAGCCGGAGGGTTTTCAAAGTTAATAAAATTGTAATAGAAAAGGAATATCACAAAGGACTCACGATGTAAACCTGAAGTAGGCTTTTATTAACTTTGAAAACATGATACAGTTACACGATTAACTTTACATANAATCCCAGGCCCTGAAGATGATCTCAATAAAGATCGAAACGTTGGCACGATAAAGAAAATGTTTTTCTGAAACCTACATCACACCAGACCGCATCTCACAATTTCTAAATAAATTTCGATTAACGGTCACTAATCACCACACATTTCTGTGTAAAAATGTTTGATGTGTGGAATATGATGAATGTTTTATATGTTATAATTATACGTTTTGTGGGATGTGATGATGTATGTATGTTACCGATATTGAATTTATGATCATAAATTCAATATCGATAACATGCATATATCATCACATCCCACAAAACGTGTAATATAACATATAAAACATTCATCGCATTCCACACATCAAACATTTTTACTTAGTTTAATTTTTCAACAATTTAGCTTTCCTTTTGTTATTTATCCGCGTCTATATAATCCTTAAAGGATAATCTGGCCGAACCATTACCTACGTTTTTTCCCCTTCGTCGACTCTTTTCACCTCAAAGACGCCGACTCTTTATACAAAAAGTCTTTCTATACCGATTTCCTTCCCCACCCCCTTCAAAATCCAACGTATATAAACACAAAATAGCAAAATCTCACTGGCATTCTCGTCACGACACGCAAGAATGGCACAATTACACATAAGACAAACACTTTGAGTGAGTAGAAATACTATGATTGAATATTAAAAAAAAAGCGTTTGAGATGGGAAGTTGGTGTCCGAGTGGATCGAGGTCACGATAGCTCAAGTGGTGGAGCAGAGGCGTATCAAGCCGAAGATCGTGGGTTCGAATCCCGCTCGTGCCATTGACTTTTTTATCTCGACCAAAAACCTTAATTAATTGTAATAAATTAATTGGTCAAGCGGACCACGAAATTAGTGAATTTAATATTAAAAAAATATATTTTGCATTGTATAAATTCACTTTTTTCCACATCCTCCATGTATTTGCTAAATTTAAACAATGTTTGTAAATCTCAGGCCCTGAAGATGATCTCAATAAAGATCGAAACGTTGGCAGGATAAAGAAAATGTTTTTCTGAAACCTACATCACACCAGACCGCATCTCACGATTTCTGAATAATCGTCGACTAACGGTCACTAATCACCACACATTGTGGATAATTTATAAAATACGTTTATTCATGAATAAAATTTCTGTTCTCCTTCATTTGAAGGGGGTATATAATCTTAGTTTAACTTTTTTTTAGGAAAAAATTTCAAAAGTTCCAAGACAAGAAGCTTAGAATAAACACAGAAGGGAGGAAAGTATTGAAACGAGCGAGAGAAGAAGGGAGTCTACATGAAACCCTCCTTGATCGCAGAAGCAAGATGAAAGCAGACAGATACTGCAAATAATGTATATATCTATTTATATAATTAAAAAATGAATTTAAAAAGAAAATATTTGTGAAATATTACAATGGAAACACTTTTTGAAAATATACGTTTAAGCTTTTTTCCATATTTTAAATTGTGTAATAATTTTTGTAATTTTTAATTTTATGAAAAAATAAAGATAACCGATATATCATAATATAACAAAGTTATATTAATTTGTCCGTACAAGTCATAATAAGAAAATCCTGCCTGTCTCAAACCTTGGATGATTAATTTTTTAGTTTCAGGAGCTGAAACTGTTTAACTGATTTAGTGCTTTGTTAAATGCTAATCATCCAGTTCTTTTGCCATTTCGATTAATTTTGATGTCGGACAACTGTCAATCTTGTGTAGGCAAGACATGTTGTTCCAGTACATCATTCTCATTTTGACTGTGTCTTCACAGGATTTCCGGCTCCTTATCAAGTCTTGATTGTGTGTGTGATAAATTTTCCTCTCCTCTTGTATACACCTGAAGAAATAAAAAAAATTTATCTATGCTCATTTAGAAAATAAAATGTGTAACTTACAAAAAACAAGGTGCTTTTGGCGTTTTGAAAACATCTACCAAACGTTTATGTTCCAAGAGAATATTGTATGCTTTACGCTTCAGCCTTACATCTTTTGGCATGTGTACTGTCCACTTGCCGTGTTGGTCCCTTTTGTATGGCTGGTAATAGTACTCAGGGTGATTCATTTGATAGAAGTGTAATGCCTTTACACCGAGTCTTTCAACACATTCTAAAGCTGTCACCATTGTATCTAGTGTATCCCACCGCTTCAACTTTCCTAATTTAAAAATGCCATTTTTTTTACACAATCCAATAAATTAACTATTTCAACCTACTTAGAAGCCTTTCAATGGGTAAATGTTTGAGCATTTTGTCCAATAGTTTCATATAATATTGTTTAACTTCTTCTAACTTGGTAAGACGCACTCTGTACAAATTTTTAATTGCGTATAGATAGTCAACTTCTCTTTTCAATTGGGCTAATTTTTCACTGAAAATAAACATTTATTTCAACCATAATTTACAAATACAAGCTGCATATGACAACAAATTTACTTGGCCTCCATTGCCTTCTTTCCAGCAATCCTTTTATGTTCGAACATTCTTTCACCAGCCATTATTACTTTGTATCCATTGTTTGCACCCTTTAAGAACCAAAATTTTTTAAACACTTAAACTTATTTCTTCTAAAAAAGACTTACCTCGGCTCCTACATGCAAATTGAGCGAGGCTATGTGGAAAATCTCCTTCCAATTTGTATCCAAGAGCATTGTTATCTCATTTAAATCAGTCGTTCCGAAGAAGGTGAATACCCTGGAAATAAATGGTAAAGTATCGTTCAGATACTGCGTCAAGCTGTTTTCCTTTTCGATCATCTGGTCAAAAGCATTTATCTCTTCTTCGGGATTGCTCATGACTCTTGTCTGGTTTTTTATCGTATAAAACTGGACAAGATTGATCATCGTGGCGTATCGAATCTGGAGGACTTGCAAGCTTTTTCTCCCCTTTTCGACAATCGCTTCTCGGTATTGTTTTGCCCGAAATGAATTATGTAAAGAATCCTCTCTAAAATACAATTGTATTTTAACAATCACCGAACAGTATGAGGAAGGTCGGTTTGAGATGGAATAAGTTCTGTAGTGAATTTCTTTTTTTCAAAAATTACCGTTCTTTAAATGAATTCAAGGCTTGGTAAACAATGTCGTTGAAGTAAAGTTTGCCTTCATAAAGATGGCTCTGTGCCTTCAACATTTGCTCTTTGAGAAGCAATCTTTGCTGTAAATCAGATGCAACTGCTCTTCTCTGTAAGCAGGCTTTAGTGAAGACACGACACTGTTTGTTTTGTACCTACAAATTTACAGTTATTTGAAATAACACTAGTGTAGGAAAATTATGTACAACTAAATTTTTTTTAATGAATTGTGAATAAACAGTCTAGTAAAATAATCATTTACAAGTCAATTTATTGCGACAAAACTATATTTTAAAAAAAAACTTTTATTTTAAAATTATTTATTATTATTTCAAGCCTACAGTTCTACTGCTGTTTTCGCTGTATCAGATTTGCACAATGCAATCCCATCGATCAGAGTCGATTGAGCTTGGTGCAAGTACTTGATAGCATTGGGGGAAATCTTAAATTCCGTAGTCTCTATTAATTTATTGATATTTGTAATAATCTTGCACAATTTTATATAGGCAGTCCTCAGTTTGCCTCTTTTTACAAGAGAGATTACACATTGTATTGACAAGATGTAACTGTGTGCAGTGGCGTCATTTTCCTCTTCTATCGGAAATTTAATAACTGCTGAATCCTCTTTCTTTAATCCTTCCTGACGACAGTTGAAACCCGCTTTCGAAAGTCTCAAAGCCTCGTAAACCCTCTCCATTATTTCGTTGTACTCCAAGATAGTCGTGTTGGAAACTTTTTTCCCACTCATTATAAATTTTATCAAAAATTAAAATTTAGTATAATTTCAATAAAAAAATCTACTTTGCACAGAAGTGAGGTAATAAATAACAATAAATCTCAGCTTATATTTAATAACCATATGTTTAATTAGTATTTTTTTTTATTTCAATAGCTCACAAAACTTACGTTATGCAACTGCTCAGTGTATCTCGGAATCCAGTCGATCATATTCTGAACCGAGGTAAACTTGCCGCATTTCATTTCACTTATCATCAACTGTCGCTTCTTTTCAACCATCGCTTTTGCCAAAACTAAATGACTTTTACCATTTTCAAGCTCTTTTCGACGCTTATTTATCAAATTCTTCTGCTTCATCTAGAGGAAACAAGATTTTAATAGATGGAAGAGTGCCATTAAACGACATTTAAATACATTTGAGTTTTATTGCTTGCAAATATCGACTTACATATTCATTGAAGCTATTTACAAAATGAACCTTTTTCTTATGATTTATTTTTAAATTTTTATTAGAATTTGCTGCAACTTCAATCGTGTACACGTTTAGAGCGTCTTTTAGTTTACATTGGAAAATTGACCTATGAGAAAATCACTGTATGTTCTAAATTTATGAAAATTTTTTTAGGTACTTACATTTCTTTCTCTATTTGGGCCTTGTAGTACTTATCGTACGGGAGAGTAAACGCTTTCATAATCCTATATTGCTTGTTAACTTTGAGCAAAGCGGCTTTCCTCATCTTTTCAACAGCTTCTGCATCCTTTACCACCTCTGTTTTTGGCTGCCGCGCAGAGTGGGCGAATTTTTTGAACACACGTCTCTTTGTATCAAGCATTTTTAGACCGATCAGAACGATAGTAAAAAAAATTAAAAAAAATATAATATATATATATTAAAAATTTCAATTTCAATTTTAATTTCTAACTCGTCTCATAAACTAATTCATCTGTTGTTGAAATTATTAGAAAAAAAATGATTTCCCTCTACTTCCATATGGTTTTGTTTGAAATTATCTTTGTCAAATCAACATCAAAGGAAAAGAAAAGCGATTAAGATTTAAAAAATGTGTATTTTCTGAAAAATGTCAAATATGTAATCACTTAAAAACTCCAAGAAATTCTAAAAAAACAATGTAATAGTATTCAAATTCAAAAAGAACCACTTACAATAATTACAATTGTTCAACCATCCATTGTCATCTTGCTCAATCATTTATAAATGCCAATTGCTTTTTTTTATTGACATTATCAATTAATTGTTTAAAGCGTATAAGAAAATTCAACAAAAGAGTAAACTATCAATTTGATAAAACACATCCCATAAACAAACAATTTGGTCCCAAGTGCACAAGCACTGTTATTGATTTGGGATAATAACAGCATTAGTAACATAGTTTGTCTAAAGTCTCAGGACATATTAAATTACACACTAGTAAACAATTGGCAGTGATCAGAGAAAATGCACGGATAAGAAATTTTTGTACACAGTTACAAACATTAAATTAACACCGATAAACAGCCTGAGATCAGTACTTTTCATAACCGTGCATGATCCCCAATTCCTTAACGTCTTTTATTTAGTTTGGCACATTTTAATATATCTATTATTAAAACCCCTACTCACTTAAAAACAACAGAAAATTTAATTTTCATTTAGCACCGATATTTAAAGACTACTTGGTTTAAAATCGATATTCAATAATTAGTCTAGGTAATAAAAACCCTAGAGCACCCGATATAAAAGGAAGCACTCAATAAATACTGAAGAATGGTCAAAATGGCCTACAGTTCTGTGTGCCTCGAGGGAAACTTCTTGAGTACAGCGAAGTACAAGTTTTGAAAAGCATAGAAACTAACGCCGACGATGAGTAGGAAGACTACTGCAAACACCACACTGAGAAAATTGCCATCGATGAGTGACTCGTACCTTGCTGGTGGATAATAACTGAAACAATATAAATATGTCCTGTACTCAACTGTCGTTTCAACATGTAAATTTGTTTACAGGAAATAATACTCATTGTACACATAACATTCTTTTTAGGGTTGATGATAGTTGTTGATCTGCTTGCTGACAGATTTTGTATTTTTTTTTGTTTTTTTTTACCATTTCCACCACCTCTTGGTAACCTACCAGGGGTACCTGAGGAAGACCCCATACCAGCGGACAAACGCTTTAACTTAATCGAATTTATATATCTAAGGGACTTCAAATAAATGGGATAAAATTACCTCCCAACAATCTTTCTTTCAGGCGAGACCACTGGTCGGTTTTCGAAGGAACAATATTTTCATTTTAAAGTCTAAAACAAAAGGTCTTCCCTTGCTGTTTTCCCCTTGTACATTTACATTTTCTAGAAATGATAAATGATGGAGTGAGTGTGATGTTCAATCCTTTTTAAAAAGATAGTTCCTACTCACAGTAAGTTGTTTTGCAACGATCCGGATTTCGAGCCTTTTAGCTCATCATCAGGTTGTAGAAGTCCTTCAACCTGATGATGAGCTAAAAGGCTCAAAATCCGGATCGTTGCAAAACAACTTACTGTGAGTAGGAACTATCTTTTTAAAAAGGATTTTACATTTTCTTGATTTTCTTTTCTATATATTTACATTATTTAAAAAAATTTTACTAGGAAGAGGAAAATAGCCCAGAACCCTAAACCTAAACCTATGTTTAATTATGCAATAAATAAATAAATAGCGTTAATAAAACTCTAACAAAACAACAATATTTAGGATTTAGTAATCAGACTAAATAGGGACTTGTTCATCTATGCGTAGTTGAGGTAAAGTCTTTTAATGCTGCAAATGATTTGATATCACAGACTAGTTTATGGAGATTAGGTGGCCATTCTGCTGAGGAAACGTTCTCTTTCTGCATTGAATTTGGTACAGCTGAATAGTTAATGTTCGGTGTCTTCTTTGGTGCTGCAAACGGAGCATAAAGGGCTTTCTCTTTTCTTATATTTATAGAGATAGCTTGCGAAGTTTCCATGTCCTGATAGCATTTGGGTGGTCCAGTAGTCGGGCTGTAGCAATTTTGCTTTTTGTCTCCTTTCAACGCTGGGGAAAAATTTGAATGTCAGCCAACCTTTATTGCTGTTTGTCCATTTTTCTTGCCATGATGGCCTTGTCATTTTTGCCAAGTACTCTTTTGCCTCCTTTCCAGTTGTGCTTCGGAACCAGTCTATTTCTCCTTGGCTTGCTCCTATATCAATTGCCTCTTTTTTTCTTTTTTTTGGTGGATGACCACCCTTTCTTTTAGGACAAGATCTATTGGTGGTGCATTGGATATTACTTGTATGGCATGCGTTGAAATCGTCCTGTATCCTTTTGTGGTTCTTATAAGAGTTATTCGTTGGCTTTGCTCTATTATAGCTTTGCTTTTGCTCGGTAGTCATTTGGCCCTTCCGGCTGCACCATAACTTGCTATTGGGAGGAAGACACTTTTATAGATTGTGGAGAGCGCTTTTGTACTAAGTCCACATTCCACTTTCGCTATTCCGTTCAATCTATTGTACACACTTCTTGTCGTTTCCCTTATTTTAATAGCATGGTGTACCGGGTTCAGGTTATCACCTAATATTACTCCCAAGTACGTGTTTTGATCGCTTGGCTTTACTCGTTTTCCCTCTATCCAAATGCATAGGGTTTGGCACTTTTCGGGGGCTACCTTTAGCTTCGCAAGCTCACACAATTTGACGATTAATTTGACAACTGCTTGCGTCTTGTCGATTATTGCTTTTCTCGTTTGTCCTTTGATTACAACAACCAGGTCATCCATAAAAGCTACGAACTTGTAACCTCTTTCTGTCAGTAGTTGTAGCAGGCTGTCGAAAAGGACGTTCCAGAATAGTTTTCTACAGCTTTCAGCTTTCTTATGTAAATTTATAATTTTTCTTGATAAATTATCTTAACAAAGCATGATAAACTTGCGAGATTTTCTCCTGTTGTATGTTGGGTCATGAACCTGTAATTTGATCGTTGCAGATCATCTGGTTCCGCCTATCCTCACTGGGCTAGTCTTTTAACCATTTCACCATCTTCAGTCTTGGGTCTGTATGATTTCTGTGAAATTGTAAAATGCCCACTGAAGTTGGTGAAATGCTGTCAAAGAACATGTTAAAATACACAAGGTCACCCTGCTGGGTCTCTTCTCTTGTAGGTTATGATGAGATTTTTCAGTGTAGTCATCTTTAGTGAGAAAGTGTACTTTTTTAATTGTTTTCAAAGTACTTAAGATATTTAAGGATTGGGTTTGAACGGTATACTACCATTTGAAGAGCATTTATGATCCTATAAAGGCATTTTACACTGATGCAACAATAAATATGTATTTATTGCTCACCTGTATGTCGGCGGTTCATTGGAATGGTTAAACAACCCATTTTCTCTTCTGTTCTGGGACTGGTTTTCTGCCAAAAGTTTCTTCATCGCCTCCAGCTTTGATCGAAGCTCTTCAACGGACTCTGCAAGGTCATCATGAATATGGTCATGAACCTCTGAAAAAAAAGGTTTCCTATTTTAAAACCAACATGTTTAATTGCTGGGGGTCTCCCAAGTTTAGCCCAATACTGAGAGAGTTGAAATGCCATTAGGAGGCCTGGTAATGATGCAAAGAGGACAGAAATATTATCACTGCTGCAAGACAGAACCCTTTACAAAGTACCCACCAGATCCTAAATAAAGTACAAGATGTTTTGGCTAGGCCTTATCAACCCTACAGCAACAGCCCGCCACCAGCAACTCAAAAGAATATGGTACAGAGAGCGCCTGAAAGGGAACACCAATTGGATGCTGTTAGGTTTACTGATGAATCAATTTTCTGTCTATATAATAATAGCAGACACCAAATAGTACCGAGAACAGGGTATGTGTACATGCCCCAGTGCATGCTTCCTTCAGTGCAGTTTGGAGGATGCAATGGTCTGGGCTGGGATTTACACTGGTGGTCGAACTGGGCTGCAATTGTTGAACGCAACCTCACTGCAATCTGTTATGTCCGAGGAATACATCCTCAAAAAAGGATCTTATTGGCAGGGATAGATTTTTGGATGACATCATAACAGTTGAGTTGTTCATCAATGTTTAGAAAGCCTGGGAATTTACCATCTGCCCCTTCCCCCATTGTCTCCAGACCTCAATCCCATTGAACACCTGTGGGATGCATCGCAAAGGTTTTTCAATCACCATCCAAAGCCAGTTGACCTGCAACAACTGGGTGCAGCATTGCAACTTCTATGGAGTGAAATTCCTTATAAAATTAGTGACCATCTTACTAACAGTATGCCCAACAGGTGCCCGGAGGTTTTAGCTAACAGAGAACATCATAAACGGTATTAATTGTTTAAATTAGAATTAGAATTAGAATTATGAGACCTCCTAGGAGGCCTCTGACCTATCCGTGATGGAGATAAATGATCACCACCTTGGTGCCTGAGTAACTCCGAGGTTGGGCTCTGGTCGGGTGCCATCGACTTCTTTGGTCATTTCAGCGCCCTTACGTTCCCTAAAACTAATCATTCTCACACTCACTCATACAATAAATACATACATACTCCTATATACAAACCCTCCGGGTCGGAGGGTACTTGATATTCCGCCCCAACCTGGCTTGGTGGAGCAGTAGGGGAGCCTTAAAATGATTACACCACCACCCTGCATACTCCTATTCTAACATAAACTAAATCTAAACTTTAACGTATGAAATAAATACCCCACTATGTACAACACATTATCCCAATATCTCTCAAAAACCTAAAAAGTTTTTCTTTAAACTCGCTGCCATGCTCGAGCATTCTCCTATGGTCTGGCGGTATTCCATGTCCATATGGGGCCAAGCTGCGACACCCCCTCCAATACATGCGACACCGTGAGTGTCATTTTGGCATGCTTGGCACCTAGGTCGACTCACGCCAACCAACAGGTACCCATGATATTAATTGTTTTTTAAAAAAATTGTTTTACCCATCCTTTTTTAAATTGTTCAAAAAAATTATTTTGTCCATTAAACAAAATTATAGAAATAAAAGATTTTATTTTGTTATTTTTCAATATTCCTTCAGCAAAAAATATAACAATTTCTAATAAATTTTAATGCCATTTATAATAACAATAAAATAAAAATATTAGAGAAAGTAAATACTAGAAAAAATTGTCAATATTTGTATTCATTTTTGAGCAGTTTATGTTTCTCTTGTAAGCAACCAAGAATGTGAATAAAAAATTTTCTATTATATTTTTGTGTAATGAGGATAGATTATAGAGCATAAGTGAAGCTTTATAAACTTGAACTTTAAACTTATATATGATCTATATTTTTTTTATTTAATCATTTAATAATAATTTACTACTTTAAATTTATACTAATATAAATTTATAATTTAATTTATAAACTTAAACTTTAAAATCCCCAGCTCTCATCCCAGAAATGTAAAATATTCTTCATTTATGCCCATAAAAATGACATTAAAGACCCATCAATAGGCTAATGCACACAGGTAATGCTTATCCACACTTCTCATACCAAGATAATATTAGCATTTTTAAAAATCGATTAATTTCCACTCTAGATTCTCTAGCTTAGTTTATATACTATTTTCATATCCATTTTATGTATATATCATTATTGTTCTGTAACAAACAAATTGATATGAACGTGAAGGAGGCGATGAACTTTGGAACTCGTGGGAGACAAGAGGACAGGATTTTTTCCATTGGGAGACTGCGAACAAACCACCTCGAATGTAGCTGCTTCAACTTGGCTTGTGAAGAATCATCTTAGGAGAAAACATCAGGAAAACGGCATTCATCGTGTGAGTTTTTTCCTATTCCATATTTCCTTAATTTTATTCCTTGGGATTGCGCATACGTAAATATGAATTCATTTATTTTTAACAATAGTTTAAATACTTTTTAATTATATTTTAAGTTTTTTTATATTGTTTGAAGAAGAATTGGTTTTATTTTTTTGTAATAATTTAAGTTTGAAGATTCAATTTAAAACAAAGAAGAGTGTAAATATAATTTTAGAAAAGAAATAATTGGATTGAATAAATTCTGCTTCCCTTACAGTGCCTTTTATTTTAAAATTTTTCCTTTTATTAAAATAATAGTAATAGTAAAAAAAATTACAATTATTATTGTAATTGTTAAAATTTTATTTTAATTTTTTTTTCATTAAAAATACCCTAAAAGTCTAACAGTTCTGTAAACACAGCTCTGTTTGTTTGATATTTACAATTATATATTACTTTGTTATGCTAGTTAGCTTGGACATTTAATAAATATCCTTTTCAGCTAAGTTTTGTTTATATTCTATTAATCATGTTAACTGCATATTTTTACAACTATGTTTTATATAATAATTCATACATCTTATTATTTCTAATTCTCTTTGTTGTTTCTTGCATTAAGTATTTATGTTTTGAAATGAATCTCTATTAACTCTCCTAAATATATTTGTAATTATTATAATTTTAATAGGCTTTGCCAAATAAAACTTTTAAGGAACAACAGTTTGATTACATTTGAGGTGTTGTTTGTACTAGTAACGTCATAAAATAAATCATTTTGATAATGAAATTCACTTGAAAAATTGGAATCCAAAAATTAAATTTTAAAATCCTCCAATATTAATGTAATTAATTATTTAAACTCGTGTAACGGTTCTTAAGCATTCGTATTTATACGTACTAACCATTAACGTTTTCTTTTAGAAAAAAATATTTATTTTTTTTTATAAATTGGAGAAATAGAAGAATAGATGCATTGTTACAACTTTGTATAACTTAAAATTGAAGAAAATAAACAGAACCACGAGGCCGTTAAATTCTGCTAAGTAAAAATGGCGGGAATTTGTTGAGTTTTGTTAAATTTTACCTTCGCTGACAGGTATTTTGGTGCTGTCTCCCGGCATAGTGTCTGTTTAGTTATGGAGAACCTCATGCACGGGCGTAGGTTGATTATTGATTTTTCCTTTCGGCCCATGAGCCGTGGGCCCAGGCCAAAACGGTTTCGAACCAAAATTCAAGCCATAAATTTAAAAAGCAATGGAGAATTTTCCCCTGATCCTTTTCCAATCCGGTTTTGATGAAGGGTGGATTTTTGGTATTATACAAAACCCGCTTGCATGTCCAATGCCTTTTGTAATCATGGCTTCGTTTGCCGCAGGCAGCGATCTGCCGTCATACGGCGTCATGGGTAAAACGAATTTTTGAGAAATCAAGACTATCAGGACAAGAAATAACTTTTTATTTGCTTAAATAAAATGCATTCGTACGCGGTAGTGCTGCTTTATCTAATTTGAGATTTGCAAGTCAGAAATTTTCTTTTGATCAAAGTGACCCTACATCCTAAGTTAGATGGAAAAAAGACAAAAACAACGTAATACATAGGGAAAAACTGGAAAATGTACCTTTCAATCAAGCCGAGAACACACCCGGTGCGACACTATGCGATGCTACCCGACGCCTTGCCACGTTTTGGTAGGGTGTGCACATCTATGCGATGTCAAGCGCACGCACAGTCACACAGCGTGTATCACAATCGCAACGCTTCTTTTCTTCTTAATGCATTATTTTGAGCAAAACTGTGTAATAAATTGTTAGTTAAATTCATTATATAAAAAAATGGTATTCCGGTGTTTTGATCAATTTTCTACCAAACCATTAAATTTTTTTTTAAATAAAAACTAATGAATTTTTGATCTCGGTTAATTTGGTTTATTTTAAAATAAGTTTGTAGTAATTAATGTAACGACAATAATACGTATAGTTTGAATAAAAATATGAGTGTTCGGTTATTTTGTCTTCGATTGTACTCGGTGCTACCCGACAAAAATCTGGAAAGTGGGGATCGCATGGCGTAGAGTAGGGTAGTGCTGCGTGGCATCGAGCAGATGTGCTCGGGGCCTCGGGGGTAATACAAACTTATGGAAAATTGGAGTCGAGTGGCATCGGGTGTGTTCCCGCCTCCCGGCTTACAGCTTATCATCAGGTTGAAGGCTTGAAGCCGGGAACACACCCGATGTAACGCTACCCGACGCCTTGCCACGTTTCGGTAGGGTGTGCACATCTATGCGACGTCAAGCGCACGCGACGTTACCGTCACACAGCGTGTATCACAAATCAGTATCACAATCGCAACGCCTCTTTTGTTCTTAATTCATTATTTTGAGCAAAACCATGTAATAAATTGTTAGTTAAACTTAATTGTTTTAAATAAAGTTATTCCGGTGTTTTGATAAATTTTCTTCCTATCCATCATAATTAAATAATTTTTGTAAAAACTTACGAATTTTTGATCTCGTTTAATTCGGTTTACATTAAAATATGAATTTTGTAATTAATATAACGACCAAATTACATGTACTTAGTTTGAAATAAACTACGAAAAATATGATTGTCCTGTTCTGAAGCGACTGGACAAAAATGATGTAATTTTATGAGCAAAAGCATGAAATAAATTATTTAAATTTTATTAGCAAAACCGTGTAATAAATTGTTAGTTAAATTCATTATATCGATAAATGGTATTTAGGTGTTTTGACCAATTTTATAGCAAACTATTAAAAAAAATTTTAAAATAAAAACTAATGAATTTTTGATCTCGGATAATTTGGGTTATATTAAAATAAGTAACTTGTAATTAATATAACGACAATAATACATGTACTTTGAATAAAAATATGAGAGTCCGATTCTTTTGTCTTCGACTGTACTCAATGCTACCCGACGAAAATCTGGACAGTGGGGATCGCGTAGCGTAGAGTAGGGTAGCGTTGAGTGGAATCGGGCAGATGTAATACAATCTTATGGAAAAAAAGGACTTTGGATTTGTGTCAGGTAGCATCGGGTAGCGTTGCATAGCATTGCATCAGGTGTGTTCCCCGCCATATTCCAATGACCACTGAGGGACTTGTCCCACAAAATCATGTTGAAACATTGAACCGATTGTGTAATATCATATCATATCACCAATATCACAAATACATGTAGGATGTGGAAAAAAAATTTGTATTTATACAATGCTAGAAAATTTTTGATTAAAAAAAATGAATTTATACAATGCTACAAAATTTTAGATTAAAAAAAGTTAATAAGATGAATTTATACAATGCTACAAAATTTTAGATTAAAAAAAAATTAATAAAATGAATTTATACAATGCTACAAAATTTTAGATTAAAAAATTTATTTGTACAATGCTAGAATTTTTTTTCAGTGTAAATTTTGTAGCATTGAATAAATTTATTTTTTCAATCTAAAATTTTGTAGCATTGTATAAATTAATTTTATTTATCTAAAATTTTGTAGCATTGTATAAATTAATTTTTTTTAAATCTTAAATTTTCTAGCATTGTACAAATTCTTAATTTTTCCACATCCTACAGGTATTGGTAAAATTCAAACAATGTTTATAAATCCCAGGCCCTGAAGATGATCTCAATAAAGATCGAAACGTTGGCACGATAAAGAAAATGTTTTTCTAAAACCTACATCACACCAGACCGCATCTCACGATCTCCTTCCAATCTATGGTTAATTCATTTAGTTATACTGAAATAATTACATATTTTAAAAAATCCTATTGTATTTTACGAATAAATAATTCATCTATCATACATTTTCTAATTGTTGCATTCCGGATATATACTATGAATGAAATAATTAACAATATATATATTTGTACACACTATTTTATAAACATTTTATATTGGAACACAAATGTCTGTATACTTGATTAAAGTTGTTTAAATGATTTTTAATTTGTGTTAAATTGAATAAGTAAATCTTGTCAATAATGATCAGTTTTGATTGTATAGATTAAAATTAAGTCATTTCTGTATCTGCAATTAGCATAGAATTTACTATCCAGTTAATTATTGCCATTTTGCTTTCAAGTATTATTAAGTTGCTAATATTATGAAATTAATTGAGTATCATGCAATTTGTCGTAGCTACATATTGTGGTTCAAAGGGAAATAAAAATAAAAACATTTTTTCTTTTTTTTTTAATTAACAAATTCAACTATTGAGGTGTTTCTATTCTGTGAATCAAAATGTAATCTTCCTTCGGATAGTCGACAATGCATGAAGTTAATTTTATTTTGTTTCTCAACCTGTTCAATCGATATTGTACTAGTAGAAGAGTTGGTTTATTAAACTGCGGCCTGGATGAGTTCCGTGTACTTTTTGACCTTTGAGGCAACGCTCATGTCTACGTATTTGTCACCGATGCTGACAACCATGCCTCCAATAAGGGCGGGGTTGACCTTCAGCACTAATATAACGTTTTCACCTTTCTTGGCAAACAGCTTAAGTGTTTTCTCCAATTCAGCTTTTGATTCGGCATCCAGTGGCTGAAATACATTAGAAAATTACATTTTTTTTTCAAAATTAAAAAATATATATACAGACTTTGGCAGTTGTGACTTCGCATTGCAAATCGCCCCTGTGTCCGGACATGATTGTTGAAAAAGCAGCTGAGACACTGTCAAACCTTTTCAGCCTGCCGTTTTCAGCAAGGAGGGAAAGAAGGTTTGTCGATGCAACTGAGAGTTTGGTCTTGGCCGCCACATCCTTCATGGCCTCCATTTTGAGTGATCTCTTTATGACTGGGTTTTTGATGAATTCCCTGAACCTTCTGTCTGTCTTAAGCGTGTTCTATAAATTAATAAAATTTAAAAACAAAAATTATGGTAATAACAACTGGTTATTCCTGAAACTATGTCCGACCTAGTCTGACGTACCTTCATTTTCTCTAAGTCCTTCTCAACAACATCTAACTGTTTCAGTTTAGTTGCTGCTGAATAAAGGGCTGTAGCATATCTTCCATCTAAACCAAATACCTGGACTGGTGGCTAAACAAAATAAAACCAAAGAATTTTGAAGGGTATAAAAAAAATTTAGAAATTTAAATCACATTCAGTATAAAAATGTATAATGGCCAAAAAATGAAAATGTGTAAGTGATGTTGAAATTGATGAGTTGAAGGGAATAGATTAGTCAGTTATTTATGTAAAAATCCAAATTTACTATAATTTTTTATTTTAAAGTCCAGCTATTTACATGTTAACTACATTACTTATTATTACTATACCGTTACTACTATTTACAATATACCATCCTCAAATAAAGAATTAACCTAGTTGATCAAAATAGAATACAAAGTTGACAATCAGTTGCATACGATATAAATAGATTAAATAAATTAATAACTTTAAATCAAATCAAATGATCATTTCTAAAGAAAATTGCTTAAATTTTATTGTTTCCAATATTAGTAATATATGGAGATTGGTGCACTTTGAAAATGTTAAATCGAGGAAGTTCGATGTTCTTTTCAGTCTTCTGTTAGGTAAGGTTGGCAATTTTTGGCTAAATGCTAATGAAAGAATCAAGGCGACAAGTGATTGCTGAGTACAACATTTTGCAGTCTGTTCTTTTTCAATCATTTGACAGACTACAAAATCAAGATTCGGCAGGCCAAAATGTTCGAAAATGGCCAAACTGCGGTTTTATCACCACCCAGACTGCAACAGAAAATCTCATAGTTTCAAATTACAGGTGGAAATCTCACAATGTATTAATATATTCAAAATAAAGGTGTAATCTTTTTAAAATCAATTGTTATAGAATTTAGTGCTCAATCTCTTAGCACACTGCGTTATGTCTGATCACTACATAATACATTAGCGGTTTTTATTCTAACTTAGATTATCATAGAAGCTTAATATTAAGTATATTACCCCCCCCCCTAATAAGTACTCAGTAGGTTTAATTGATGGTTGATGAAGACCCTGTGGGTCAATTTCTCCCAGAATGTTTTATTTATGTTATAAATAATGGAAAGTGATACAAATGCAATAAATTGTGGTGAAAATGAATGGCTGGCGTATAGAAAAGTGTAAAAATAGATACCTTGATCAACTGGTTCGCAGCCGACGACGATGAGAAGCTTCTTACCTGCCCGACAAGCCGAATTAATACAAATTCTTCATCATTTTAGTTTAGGAAAATGTTTTCATATTTTACTTACGGCTTTTAGCATTGAATTCGAGGCCATCGTTGATCAAGAATCGGAGATGACTTAGCCGAGAAAATATCTTTTCAAGACGGGACCGATTCCGATAAAAGGGAACAACCTTTGGCGTAACCTCAAGCAAAAAAAAACCACTTTTTCCTTGTAACCTATTTGCAATTCCTTTCAAATAAAAAAATTAACAAAAAAATGTTTGTATTTGAATTTTTGGCGAATTCATTTGACAAAATTTCGTACTTTTTGTTTAAAAGTTGGTGTCGTTCAATGGTGCCATGATCCTGCGAAAAAGGGCGGGAAGCCCTGTTGACCAAACAAGCTGGTGTCACGGATCTTTTTCTTTCCAACGAAAATATTAAGTCAAGTCATAAGGTAAGAAATTATTTATTATAATATGTAAATGACAAACTAATTTATTTGAAAAATTCAAATTGACAGTTCAAACTATTGGGGAATGTCGATTTTGAAAGCCAAACCAAATATGTATGCATTCGAACCTGCCCATCATTTCAACGCGTATTTTCCTTTTTAAAGATTACTCATCGTATTTAACTTCATTTACGTGTATATTTCAAATATTATATGTCTAAAGGGGCACATTAAAACAGACAAGGTTTGAAAATGATTACGGGCTTGTCCAAGGAAAGATTCATACCACAAAGCAAGTACGCAAAATGTCAAACATAGTCTCTTGTAAAAACTAAGACTTTGTTAAGCCAAACTTCAAAACTTTTAAAAACAAAAAAATTGTATTTGATTTTGTTTGCATCTGGTGATCAATAAACAAATTGGCTATATTATGATTATGAATTATGAATTGAATCTGAAGGTGTGAAACAGGATGTTAATCATAACCGTACCATCTCTTCGTAATAAGTTGTTCACCTTTAAAGTCTTTTTTTATATAAAACATACATTTTATTATATGACAATAAAAGTGTTTATGCTTCAAATGGCGTAATATGCAGTTCGTCGCTAAAAACAGTAAGAATTCACTCAATATGCATGATCAGAAATATGGCTGATGATTTAAAATCAATCATGTCCGCTATTTTCTTCCTAATATAATTGTCTACCTTTAAAGATTAGTTTTTTGATTATGAATGACCTGTTGTTTGGTCAAATCCGGTCATTTTACCTGCCCATCTTTACTGTTTTGGTCTGTCAGGCACGTTTTAATTCGTAGCCTTCTTTAGTGGCGATGTTTTAAAATGACATCTATAATTATTGAAAATAGATAGTTTATTGCAAGTCATTAATTTTTCCAATGGGCAGTACAATTTGCAAGAACACAGGGAACCATGAAATTTCATTGTGTATACTTGTTATAAAACAAGTATAAATCATTCTTAGTTTAGTATTTGAGTTAATTAATGAAATTGTAAGGAATTTATAAGAATATTTTCATGCTAGCAAAAAAGACAATCTTATTCCAACAATGTTACATTTATGATTTCTTCACTAAAGAAACATGGAGCGCAGAAATGTTGGCTGATATCAATACATAAAATAAATTTATAAAATAAAAATAATAAAATAAGTTACATAAAATTATATGTAGTGCTTTGACTTTAGAGGTCTTTGCTCTTGCATATGAGCTCAACAGTCAGACATGCTGAAAATAACTCATTGTTTATGTTGTTCCTGCATTGATTTTTCTACGGGTTTTCTTCTCCTAATTATTAAATGTTCAATGTCTATTTGTCAGGGAGGGATTATCTGTCAGTTTTCTCCAGAGGCTCTGTAAAAAAGATGGAATTCTACATTTCCTCTGAAGAAGAATATTCAATTGTATAGAAATTAATCTAAAGTTAAACTAATTTCATATTATTTTTAAAGGTTTGTTTACATCTCACCCTTTTAAGATCCTGTGCCTTTCTGCACTATGTTATTAATCTATGATTATTCCTGGTTACTGTTGTGCATTCTAATTTGCTTTTTTGGGAGAGGCCTAGGTTATTTGCAACTGGGAAAAATTCTCCAGTTTTCATACCTTTTCCACTGTAACTCACCTTTTTCCAAATTAATTCAACTTTTTCCACATAAAATTGAACTTTTTTCAAAACAAATTATACTTTTGCTGGATCGGATTTTGGAAAAAGCCTATCAGTTTGTACAAAATGAATAGGTAGGTTTACATTTTTTATGTTATGTTCCTAAACTGCAATAGTCTTAAAATGTCACAAGGTCTAATTTTTTTAAAATTCTGTATTAAAAATATAAAAAATACATAATTTTCTGGATTTCAAAATTACTCTAACATGAATGGCAAAATGTCCTAGGCCAAATTATGGCTGTTTGTAAATATACAATTTTAAAGATTAGTTTTGTTAATGCATTTCTAACTAAAATCTTTTCCAAATCATATTTAACCTAATTTTTTTCTCATACAAAATGTATATTTTTCCCAATAGAATGTAACTTTTCCCAAACCAAACCTAGCTTTTTTCATCCTAAACCTTTTTCAAACCAACCAAGACATTTTTAAAAATAGAATTGAACATTTTTCAAATAAATATGAACTTCCACAAGTAAAATGTATTTTTTTCCTAATAAAATTTTACCTTTTAAAAATCTAATTTAATTTTTATTAAATGCAACTTTGTCAAGCCAAAGCAATTTTTTATTTTACAACCAAATTGAATTTTTCCGAAACCAAATAAAACTTTTTGTAAAATCAAATTGAATTTTGTTCAAACTTAATTGAATTTTGTTCAAATTAAATTGAATTTTGTTACAATTAAATCAAACTTTTTCAACATCAAATGGATTTTTTCTCAATAAAATTTGAACTTTTTTTCAAATCAAATGCAATTTTTCTTAAACTAAATTGAATTGAACTTTGTTCAAATAAAATTGAATCTTTCTTCTCGAAATTTATTTTTGTACAAATAAAATTTTAACATTTTTTTAACTCAAGTGAAGTTTTGCAATCGAATTGAACATCAAATTCAATATTTCTATCTCAAATTTATTTTTTCCATAATAAATCCACACAATAATAAATTAATCCATGTTTGTAGTTCATAGTTATAATTGACTGGATTAATTATTGTAATTAATTATACTTTTCTAAGGACTTGGTTGAGATGAAAAAGCAAGTGGCATGAGCAGGATTCAAAGGTCGTGGGTTCGAGTCCCGCCCGTGATACTTGCTTTTTAACCAAGACCTTAGTTAAAAGTATAATTAATTAAAATAACTATGAAAATGCAATTTTTCTCAATACAATTCAATTTTTTTTTAAACCAAGTATCACTACCCAAATTGAATTCAATTTTGTTTAACCGAAATTGAAGCTTTTCCGGATCAAGTTAATTTTGCCTCAAGCAAAGTATACTTTTTCCAAACCAAACTGAACCTGTTCCAAAAGTAAACTTTGACCTTGAACCTTGAATACATTAGATTCAAAAAAGTATTTTTGCATGCCTGTTTATTTCCTAGATAAAAATCTTTAATTTGAAAGAAAATAAAATTATTTATTTCATTTAGAAGATTGAATCTGTCTCGGTTTTTTTTAAATATTGTGCTTTTCCTAGTTAATTGATTTTGTTCTTGTATAGTTATAAATGAGTTATAATTAAATAATGGCTATTGTTGTTCAATATAACAAGTTTCTAGATACTTCAGAGAAGAATTTTTCTTACGTGATTTGCCAAAATTTAGTTTTACATGCTCATTTTGACCGGCAATTCTTGATTATCCTTCTCTGTTATAGCAAAATTTTCAATTATTTATTTTTTTCCTGCCTTTATTTTTGCCAGGGGCGGGTTTGTGGGCTGGCGAACAGTATCCGTATTAAAACAATGTCCGTTTATTGAATCATTTGAACCCTATTTGTTTACAGTCCGACCACAGGACGGGAGGTCGGCGAATGACGTCGCCGGCGTCCGTTTAGAAAACAAGCGTTAAGATTTTCTCCTTAGATGGTAACTGGGCGGTCTTGTCCTGTTATGGCAAGGCGAGATCCAGCTATGACACCGATGGACTTTCAAAAGGTCTTAAACAGCTTGTCAGGCTGTCCATTAACGATTTGGCATAATTTAAAAAAAATTCCCTAGTCGACCTAGGTAGATTGGGCAATCGGCAGTTTCATCTCTGGACATCTCTTGTCTATTAGCTACTTATACCGAGTAATTTTAAATTTTGATATGTTCTTGGTTACTTTCTCTGACCATGTACGAATCGACAGTATTAAACAGGCACAATTCAAATTTTGACCTATGCGGACAATCTGATAAAAACTTTGTTTTTTATTGGACATTTGGAACTGAGGAATTAAATACAATAAGCAAAATAGTGAGCGTAGAAATCACACACTCACTACCACCTTGGAAAAGATTGCGGGGGCTACCGACCTTGAGGTTTATCAGAAAGTCAGGCTGAGATATGGGAATCCACTGAACAGATGGTACTTTGACGATTTCAAAATGATGACTTAACGAGATCGAAAGAATCCTTATTAATTAGATAGCTTTCTTTTTGCCTAACGCATAGCGTATTAAGATATATCTATTTATTCAATTGTTAGCTTGAACGTTAAGAAAAAATAATTCTCTCTCTCTCACTCTCTCTCATTCATTCTCTCTCTCTCTCTCTCTCTCTCTCTCTCTCTCTCTCTCTCTCTCTCTCCTCACCCTCTCCCTCTCCCACTCCCTCCCTCTCTCTCCCTCTCTCCTCTCTCTCACTCTCTCTCCCTCACTCTCTCACTCTCTCACTCTCACTCTCCCTCCCTCTCCCTCTCTTTCAAACTCCTGTCTCTCACTACTCAATCTTCTCATTTTCTCTACTCCGGTCTTCTTGCACTCAATCTCTTTTACTCTTTCCCAATGTATCTTCACACAAACACGGGGCCGGGTGGGTTTTTTGACAATGATGAATTTTTCATTGATCGTGGAAATGCCACCAGAGGTTGAATTGTACGCCTTTGCCAACGATTTGATCATCATCATCATAGGAAGGAAAACAGAATTTGAATTGAATAGCCTGGGCAACCGAGTTGTGCATCAGGTGGAAGGGTGGTCTGTTCGGAAAAAATGAAGTTTAAACCGGAAGAGTAGAAGGTCCTAGTTATAGGGGGAAAACGTCCAGATAAAATCTACTACGCGTAAGCGGCTCCAGTCTAATATTCGGGTCTAG